TCTGAGCACACAAGAGAGAGAGAGAGAGAGAGAGAGAGAGAGAGAGAGAGAGAGAGAGAGAGAGAGAGAGAGAGAGAGAGAGAGAGAGAAAGAGAGAGAGAGAGGGAGAGCAATATATTGAAATGGTGAGAAGGACGATGCGGACCAAAGGATAACTGTACTCAGAACTGAAGTTGTTATGAAGCTAATTGTTGGCTATTTTTTTGTCTTTGGCTGATCAGGGATGGGTTCATACCTGCTGGAGGCATTGAATGATCGGTATGGGAAGAAGCTTGTGCAGACTTATAGTGTCTTCCCAAACCAGATGGAGACAAGTGATGTGGTGGTTCAACCATACAACTCGCTTTTGACGCTCAAGCGTTTGACACTGAATGCTGACTGCGTTGTTGTTCTCGACAATACTGCTCTCAACCGAATCGCAGTGGATCGCCTTCACATCTCCAACCCTACTTTTGCCCAGACCAATTCGTTGGTGTCTACTGTTATGTCTGCAAGCACGACGACCCTGCGATATCCAGGCTATATGAATAATGACCTGGTCGGGCTGATCGCGTCTCTTATTCCCACCCCCAGATGCCACTTCTTGATGACAGGCTACACTCCATTGACGGTGGAGCGACAGGTCAGGCTCTCCAATCACCGGTCAGCACCCCTCTCTATCAATCCCTTTACGCCAGAAAATCCCAAAATATGAACAAGTGTTTTCTTTTTTTTCCTGTTTTTTTCTGTCATGAGAATGTGGGGGTTACTGTGTTTTCTCAACAGTGGTGTTGGCTCCATTCTTTTCTTGGCCAGGCAGCGAAGCTGACGAACGGAGAAGGGGATTCAAAGTTTTTGAACCGTCAACCATAACATTGGCAAGGCTAGTTCAGAAATCCAAAAAGAAAAGAGAAAGAATTGTCATGAAAAATTCATGAACAGTTTATAACACTGAATGGTTCAGCCTGAACCACCTTTCAATGACAGATCCCAAAATATGAACTTTTTTTTTCTTCGTTTAACTTCGAAGTTTGAACTTCATCTCTTCTCCCCTGTCAAGGGGTTTCTCTAAAAACGGCAACTTTTTTAAGAAAGCGGCTGAAAGCCGACAAAAAAAAGGAATTTTTAGCCTGAAAATGCAGGAGCAGTTAAGCACTAAGCTGTTCAGTCTGGGCCATCTCCCATTCTGAACGTACTACCACTTGGTCCTTGTGCATGTTTGTACGTAGTTTCAAAACATAGCTGCCCTTCCGGGTTGTGATCCGCTCTCCACATGTAGTTAACCAGGGGTGTTATTTTTGGCGAATTTTGCACCGAAACTGTCACATTGTGCTGATTTTTTGCTTTTTTTCTTGTTTTTTCTTTTTTGTGTGTGACATATATGTGCTTTAGGGTACGTGATGTGTCCAGTTTTTTCATGTTTGGATCAATAATGAAAAAGTTGCATTTCATTCTTGATCCAAAGATGTCAAAACTGGACACATCACGTACCCTAAAGCACAGATCTGTCACACAAAAAGAAAAACAAGAAAAAAAAAAGCAAAAAATCAGCTTAATGTGACAGTTTCGGTGCAAAATTCGCCGAAAATTCGTTGGAGGCTTCATTTTGACTCGGACAGTGTTTTTGTGTTAGGGTTTTATAGTGTTTTTTTGTTCTTTTTTTTTCTTTTAATTGGCCTGTTTCTTTTTTTGATGTTTGCGCAATGGGCCCATATCGTTTGTCTGTGAAATTTCCGATGTATTTCGCACCGAAATTGCCGTCAAAACTGGCGAATATTTGCCCCCCCATTAACTATCTCTCCCAGACAGGCACGTGAATAGTTTTACCAGGATGTGTTATCCTGCTGGTGCGTTCCGACAGAGGCATGAGAGCAAACAAGGTGAAGTCTAGAGACATTAAACTCGATTAAACTTGATGAAAGCAATTATGAACCCTATTTTGAATTTTCTCTCTCTTTTCAAACCATCACTAAACCATTGTAGTTACAGTTTACCGGTTAGGATGCCATTCACCTTGTGTTGTTTAACTGGTGGGGTCGCCGCCGCAGCCCAACATCGACGTTTGGCTTCTAGTGGCGGCTGTTGGCCAACACTTGAATTTCTGAAGCAGTGGCTATGGTCCTTTCAGCTTTAATGGGGAGAGGCGTGAGCGTACTGATGTATTCAACTATTGTCATACAAGCCTTGGGCACTGGGCCCTTTTTGAGGTGGGAAATAAGAGGGAGTTGGCTAACCCACCGCACCGCATCAGAGAATGTTTGATATGACTTGTCATTCTCTACTATCTCTAGTAAATGTGATGCAAAGTTTTTGCCTTTGTTACTCAAAAGTAACTCAATTCAAATCTAAGTTCTAACGGAAATGGGTCTGGAATCTGGATGCAAATGCCTGAGTTTGGAGTCGGGGGGGCCATGGGTAAGGCTGGGTGCTGGTGGACAAAGATTAGGCCCGGGTGTGGCTAGGTAGGGTGTAAGGCTTTTAGTGCAGATGCTGTGTGGGTCACGTATGGGTAGACAAAGTTTGAAAAACCTGGGTAAGGCTGGGTTTGTCTAAAGAATTGTGGGTTTAGCTGGGTCTGAGTGAAAAAAAAAAAAATCAAGGGTTGGGCTGGTTTTTTAGCAGTACTTTTTGATCTTGGGTCCATCCATGCAGGCATGGAATCGAACTGGCATCCTCAGCCGCAAGAGCCAAGTCTCTTAACCACTACTGCCAGCCATTACTGGTATACTAAAAGTGAACCATACCGACCGTGATACCCATCCCACCCCTGCATGGCTGTGGTATCCTTACTCACTCACACTGCACACAACACCACTCAGGACTTACCGCCGCCCATACGCAGGCAACTGTCGCACACTTCGCCCTTCATCAGCACATGACCCGCCGCTGCGACATAGCCTGGTCACCCAGACGAAGCTCTTCCTCATCGTTTCCCAGGCGCCTCACAGTACTTTGGGTCAAAAAAAAAAGAAGACAGAAACATGGGAGGGCGACCTCGGCTTTGTTTTGCCTTCCGGAAGGAAGTTGATGGAAGACCTGGGCTTTTCAGGTTCCTTCCCCCCCCCCCCCCCCCCCCCCCTCCTCCTCTCAAGGGCAACAACCGTGGGATATCTTCATTGATCGTCGGACCAGCCCCAGGTAATTCAGAATGATTTATTCCATTCATCAAGGTCCAGCAGGATTGGAACTCAGGTCTGCATTTCAAATTTTCAACGGTTCTTGGGTGTACCATCTGAGCTAGGCTGGTTGGTAGGGCTTTTCGGTTTTTGTTTTGCCTTCTAGGAGGAAAAGTTGAGGGGCAACCCTTGTTTTTTTTCATTTCCCTTTTTTCGTAGTTTCTATTTTGTCTTGTGAGGTCAATGCTGCATACAGCTGTTTATGGATCTGGTTGTATTGTCGAAACTTGTGTCCATGGCTACGCCGGATGCGGACCCAGACACAGCTGGATGTGCAAGGGGGAAAAAAAAAACATATTTAAGAAGGTTCACACATGAGGGGTGCATTGGGCTATACCTACCTCCACGCAGTAACCAACTTGTACCTCTCTCTCTCTCTCACACACACACACACACACACACACACACACACACACACACACACACACACACACACACACTTGATTAAAAAAAGAAAAAAATCAGAATTAGTCTCAGTCCAGCCGTTTTTGGCACCCGTAAAGGGGCCAATAAAAAGGTACACCGTTTTTTGGGGGGTCAGCATTGAACAACGTGATTAAAAAAAAAAAAATTATTGGTATTGTGGCTCCTATCCGGACACAAGACCAGATGTCTGGATGGACATCCAGATCCAGATGGTCTGGACCGGGATCCGAATGTTCGCACCGGAGCCATGCTCATGTCACTAGCGTTGATTCTTGTGTTACCTGGTGTCGTCTTTGTCTCTAACACGAATCTTACCACAGGGAAATGCTGTGCGTAAAACGACAGTGCTTGATGTGATGAGGAGACTCCTTCAGGTGTGTGATTTCACCTTCTCGTGACGTAATCTTCTACCAAGCTCTTTTACCTTTTTTGCTAATGAACTTTGCAGTTGCAATTCTTTCCCCCTAGATGCCAGGTGATGCCACGCCCCCAACTGGGACACAACCTGAAACTGTTCAAGCAACTTAAATGAGTACGTTCATCCTCTCCGCAACAGAATGGAGACTAGACACAATGCTACAGAAATAGTACAGATCATACTTGCAAGCAGACGGACTGGACGAGCGTCCGGTCCGGTCCGCTTTGCCGCGTGCGGCACCCTTCCCCCGGACCGGATGGACCTGGACCAGACCGGACGGGGCCCGTTTTTTTTTTTTTTGGGGGGGGGGGGGGGGTAACTGGTCGTCGGGCGCAGATTCATGCACCGCGCGGGTCCGGTCCGGCGGTCTGCCGCACGTGCGGAACCGCCCGGACGGCGTCCGCTTGCAAGTATGGTACAGATACAAATAAAGCAACGAGAATGAGGGTTGCAAATTTCATCAAAAGCTGTTCTTACTACTTACCGAGAAAGGGAAAAAAGATGGGCCAGGGTTAAGTTTGTTCCAAAGACAGCCTGCATTACAGGTGAGGTACGTGTCACGGTTTTTGTATGCAGCATTGCCAGGTATTCGGCGCACGTCTTTTGTCGAGATCATCCAGACGGATGAAGTTTTACGGAGCATCAAAAAAAAAAAATGCGCTCTGTACAAATAGCAAAATACTAAAATACTCCGGTGCATTGCTTTTTTGTTTTTTTGTTTTTTTTTAAAAGGACGACGGCCTTGATCATCGATTCATTGAGCTGACCGGCCCCAGGCAATTCAGAAATATTTGGTTTGACTCATCAATCAAGTTCCATAATCTGGATTCGAACTTGGGTCTGTATTTCAACAGTTCATGGGTGTACCCACTGAGCTAGGCTCTTGGGTATTTTACTTTTCTTCTTTTAGAAAAATTTAAAAGAAACAGTCAAAATGTTGTAGAGGATGACAAACCAATGAAGTATTGGCTCAGGGTCACCTGAGAATTCCTGACAAAGTTGATGGTAAGGTGAAAAGTTGCAAACAGACTCGACAGAGTCTTTTTTTTTTCTTTTTTCAATCAATATCTAATTGAAGTACCTCACTCTAAACACCTTTAAAAGTTTAAATCCCTTTAAACCCGTGTCAAGTTTAAACCCTGTATTTATCCCCTGAGAACCCTTGAACCCCAAACATGCTTTCTATGAAATAAAGACAATTGTGAAAGGATTCATGCCTCTGAGCGTCCAAGTCCCAGACCCAGTCCCAGAGTCCCAGGAGTCTCATGTACTTAACCATAGGTCTGTCCTAGTTGAGATCTGCAACGCCGGGAGGGCCCGGTAGGTTGGTAGGCTTAGAAAGTTGGTAGGCCCAGCCAGTCTGTTGCTACTGTTTAGCTTGTCAGTCTCCCTGGCCAGTCTGAACGGCGACCGTAGCCATCAAGTAAGGGGTCCCGATCTTGAAAATCCAAGATTGGAAACTGTGGCGAAGTACACAAGTTCAGCGGCAGCAAAGCGTCAACACAATTTGCATTCACACTTGCTGCGGAAGCCCTGTTGCGGCCTTGTGCTACGAAGTGTGGAGTGAGGCTGACGGCAGACGTAGGAAGTAGCCATCGGCACACCGCGCCCGGAGCTGTGGCAGTTGAGAGAGACCGAGACTGAGAGATGAGGAAGGCCTTCAGAGTGAGACAGACAGAGGCCTGAGGGTAGTCTAGGTGGAGAGAGGAAGTGAGAGAGAACCCTGTCTGAGCTGGTGGCGGCCACAGATGCCCTAGTGTGAACGCAAGAGACTTTGTTGTTCAAGACTTCGATTTGGCGAGCAGTTTCTGTTCGCATACGGTTATGGGTTGCATCCTGTGTGAAGCTTGGTATGCTGAAGTGTGAACTCGTTGTGTGGTGAGAAGCCGTTTGAAGTCGCGAGATCATGCAATTGGTATCAGAGCGGACTCTTGGTGTCTTCCTCTGTGTGCATGAGGCGGAGAGGCCGGCATACAAAGATACTGGCCAGTTGGGTAATTCAGAAGTAATGCGTGGTTTGTGAAGCGATTGGCAAAAAGGAAAAAGGAGAGAAGCGAGAATGTTGACTGGCAAGAGTGCGATTAGGGTTGCTTTACGGAGAGGTAGGGTTACTAGTGAAAAAGGGTTCAAATGAAGGAGACAACCATGGTGAATGGCCAGATGTTCGGACCAGGATCCAGACGGTCTGGATATCTGGGTCTAGGTGTTGTGTTGGCTCCAGTAGGTCCAGTTAGGCCCCTCTCCCAAGAAATTCGAAAAAAAGAAGGGGGCACCTATGGCCTTCTTCGGGTCGTAGGCGGCCCACAAAAATAGCAGCACGATTTATCGGCCATTTATCGGTCCAACAGACCAGCCCGGACCCCACAAAGAGTTGTTGGGGCGGGATTCACTCTGGCGGCTACGGGAGGAGAGGGGGAAGGGACATTCAAAATCAAACCCACCCTCATTGTTCTTGGCGCCATCCAGAGCAGCTGCCACGACCCGTCGGAGGAGGCTGTGATACTCACGACAGTTCGAAGCCAACTGCCAGCCACCAGCCCTCTCTCTCTCTCTCTCTGGTAGCTAGTATGTGTGTCTGGGACAATGCTTCGAAGTTGATGCTGTCGGAGGTGCAAGCTGCAGGGTGTGGGGCAGACTCAATGAAGTATTTGCAGAATACGGATGTAGACGATTCCTAGAGAAGCTGCAAGATCGGTTTATAGACAAGAATAAGTCCCTTAGAGCAGCCAATGAGACTCTGAACATCAAATGGCGTGGTTGGAGAAGCATTAATGCTCTCAAGTCTTGAATTTATTTTATGTTCTATGTTTATAATCAATTTACATACTTCAATCAAAAAATATACTTATTTTTACAAACAATTCTATTTTTAATACTTGATGGACACAACTTTCTCGTTTCTCGCATTGACGGGTGTGCCGGGCTGGGCGACGGCCCAACATAGCTTAGACATGATTAATGCTTTGTCCGCTAACTTGGCTGTTTCTTTCTCATGTTTTGGCCTTTGGAAAATGGAGCCAGGCAAAGAACATCATGGTGTCTTCATATGCAAGGTCAAAGGAAGCTAGTCAGGCAAAGTATATATCCATCCTCAACATCATTCAAGGAGAGGTGGATCCCACACAGGTACATGATCTGTAGTTCAGTTCTGTTAATTCAGCTTACCAGTTACAGGATTCTCTGGTTCTTTTTTCTTAAGCATTTCATCTGCTTGATGATCTGATAGCCTGATGCATATGTCAGTGGATCAGTTATCAGAAACATTTCTGATGATGATGATGATGATGATGATGATGATGATGATGATGATAGCCCGATGCATGACTTGACGAGTAAGGTTGAGGGTGGTCCCAATGTATCTATGCTCAAAATCTTTCATCTCTGTCTCTCTCACCCCATGACTCTCTGTCTTTACTCTCATTCCTCCCATTCCTCTCTTTACTCCCACCAGCCCCCTCCTCCTCCACCCCCCTTCCCCCGCCTCTCTCTCTCTCTCTGTGTATGTGTGTGTGTGTGTGTGTGTGTGTGTGTGTGTGTGTGTGTGTGCGTGTCTGCTCGCTCACACACTAGTTCTCCATTTCTCGTGTTGTCTTCATATGCGGCTATCTGGCTCTCATGTGACATGTATGTCATATCTGTTGAACCATCACTACCTCTGGACTGGAACTGCCGAGCCTAGTGAGGCCCGGTGCCTTGCCAGTTTGTGGCAGTTCAGCAGAGGAAAATCCAGCACTATTGTCGTCACTACTTCAGGAAAAAGGACCTCCCCGGTAGTGGGGTTTTAACTGAACCTGAGCTGCCAACACATGCTCAGCCCATCTGATCATAACCATCCCTTCGTCGCCCTAAGCCCAGTTTGGTCTCCCCTGGACACCTACCTTGCCATATCTGTTGAACCATCACTACCTCTGGACTGGAACTGCCGAGCCTAGTGAGGGTCGGTGCCTTGCCAGTTTGTGGCAGTTCAGCAGAGGAAAATCCAGCACTATTGTCGTCACTACTTCAGGAAAAAGAACCTCCCCGGTAGTGGGGTTTTAACTGAACCTGAGCTGCCAACACATGCTCAGCCCATCTGATCATAACCATCCCTCGGTCGCCCTAAGCCCAGTTTGGTCTCCCCTGGACACCTACCTTGCCCCTTATGAGCATCCCTGATGGCTCGCTTATTTTCGCCTTGGTGCACTGGTTTGGTCTGATGTTCTGAGCTGCACTGGTCTCTCCAGACAGGTAATGTGAATGTCTAAGCTGATGTGTTTGTTTGTGTGTTTGTGTGTGTGTGTGTGCTTTGTGTCGGTTTGTGCGTTTGTGTTTGTTTGTGTGTTTGTGTGTGTGTGTGTGTGTGTGTGTGTGTGTGTGTGTGTGTGTGTGTGTGTGTGTGTGTGTG